TGCCTGCTCTCAAAATACCGTGATTAATTGCAGCTGATGACATTGAGGCACGAGCGAAACTGTAGACAGAAAATGAAAGAGCAAGAGTGAATGAAATTCAGACGCACTAGTTGGTGGGTAGTCTTTAGACTGACGACGACCAGACAGGCACTTCACTAACTAGAGTATAAAGTGAAAGTATCGACTCGACCGTGAAGGGCCACTACTCTTTCTTTCTCTCTATTTCGTTTTTACAGTCAATCAGACTTTTGTAATTACAATATTTCCAGTTGAAGCGGCCTTTTCAAATAAAGAGGGGGCCGGAAAAGATGAGACACAAAAGGGAAAAACCAAATTAAATTTCAATTACGTGGCAAGCAGCAGCTACAGACTGGCTGAGCTGCAAGTTTTATAGATAAATGTAGTACTATGGACAAACGAAAATGAGTAAGAGGATAAAAGAAAAAGTTCAACGACGCACACATTAAAAGATCATCGGACACTTTTTCTCTCTTTTTTTAGGGGCACGTCAGCCATGATTTCACTAGTAATTGGAAACAGGCAGCTAACGTGAGCAGATAAAAATTTGGCTAAAAAGTGCCAAGTTTGGTGACTAGTTAGAGCGGCAACTAGATGGGCTAATTTTCACTGATCCGCTTACATGACACTCAACACTGAAGCAGGCAAGCAATTTGCCACTTTTCAAATGTGTGCTCGTTGTGCTAAAAAACAAGAGATAAAGATGCTCTCTTTTTTTCTTTTACTCAACTTTCAATCTCTCAATTTCAACTGCTGCTGTTGCTTTGTTGGGTCCAAGTTTCACTTCACTTCACTTTACCGACTGCTCTACTTCAACTGAGTTGTCCTCTACATTTTAGCTAGACAAGCTATCAAAGTTAAAAAGAAAGCAAAATAAAGAAGTTGAGTAAAATTGAAAAAGAAAAAAGGCGGCAAAGTGAGTGATATCAAATGTAAATCGGGGGTGAACTTTGAAATTCGACGGCACTTTTGTACTCGGCTAAGGAATAGGCTTTGTGTAGCAGAGCTCATTAAAGTGCCTAGACCGTAGTCAAGCTGAATAATCTTTGAATTTTCGATCGATTCGACTGCAGCTGCTAAAGTTACAGCTTTCTTTAGAGCTTTGCAACTTTTTTTCTTTGGAACAGGACACCGGAGCAAAGCTGTAGTGAGCAATAAAGTCAAAAACTCTAAAAATAAAAAAAGAGGACACAAATGATAATAAAAACTTTCAGCGTTGCGAGACGACCTTTCAAGACAAGAGTGATTTTAGTAAAAACAGTAAAGTGAAACAGAAATTAAACTTTCAAACTTTGCTTGATACATTGTACAAGTTTTACTTTTGATTTTGTTTAGCCTTGTTGCACCGGTTTTGTCCTCTTTATATCGTCAAATCAGAAAAACATTTTAGAAAATCTCCATCTCTCCAGTGAATTGACTGAATATGTTAAGCTGGCCGTTTGTTCTGATTTGACCAACAGCATTTAGTGCACATTTCAAACAAAATTACAAAATCAAAACTAGTCGTTGACGGGGAAAATCATAAAAATCAGTAACCAGAGCAACAGAAACACTGCCTGTCTAACTTTGACATTAAAAAGCCGATAAAAAGCACCAAATTTTCAAAACTGCAAACAGCAGTAGAAATTGAAATGTAAAAAACTAAAAACAAATTAAAATTCAATTTAAACGGCAATATAAAATTAAAGTGCACTAGCTCTCCGTTCTCACTGGTGGATGAGTCAGCACAAAACACTGCTGTGTCTGCGGAAGGTTTTTCGGCAAAATGATAACTAACAGCACTGTTTGCAATAGTTTGCAGTAGTGAAAAAAAGTACTTTCACCGAGGCAACAGTTTGCGATTTTTAAAACGGCAGGCCTAGAGCAAAGTGCAGCAAGGAAAAAGGGCACACATTAAAATGCATTGCAGGCAAGCCCATCATCAGGAGCCCCGTTTTTAGCCCCCGCCGCTGCTGAAATAAAGTGAAATGAATTTGCAATAGCAAGTTTTGGTTAGCAACTCTCAACAAATCAATGCACTGCTGCTATTACTATTATTCAGTTGGGGGAAAACACACACACTCTACTTCATTTGATTTGATTTGTGTCGTCTGACTGCAGTGAAGCACNGCAGCAAGGAAAAAGGGCACACATTAAAATGCATTGCAGGCAAGCCCATCATCAGGAGCCCCGTTTTTAGCCCCCGCCGCTGCTGAAATAAAGTGAAATGAATTTGCAATAGCAAGTTTTGGTTAGCAACTCTCAACAAATCAATGCACTGCTGCTATTACTATTATTCAGTTGGGGGAAAACACACACACTCTACTTCATTTGATTTGATTTGTGTCGTCTGACTGCAGTGAAGCACTGGTGGTGATGATGATGATAGTATCGATCAGGCAAAACACACACACACACACACACACAATCTTTCAGCGTTTTGTTGCCCCTCAAAATTGCACCCTGTTTCTATTTGAAAATATTTAAAAAGCTATTAAAAACGCATGTTATATTTGTAAGGAGAAGAATAAGTGGAGAAAAAAAGGTTGTTGACTCAACAGCAATAGAAACAGTGGGCTGCATTAGTAATGATCAATGAATGACAAATCAGAGTTGAATTGAATGGCAAATTTTTTAACTTAAAAAAAGAAAAATGAAACTTTTTGCCCGGCGACAAAAACTGAAATGACTGTGTCACAGACAGGCTGTAGCTGCCGCTCTGATTTGATTTTAATTGAGCCAAAAGGGTGATGGTGCAAGTGAAAAGAAGTAGGTAGACAGAAAAAAAATCAATCGATGTCGTCAAAAAAAGGAAAAAGTACAAGAGTTGATGAAATTAATAATAACCGTGAGCAAACACACAAAATGAGCCCATGGCTGTCGTCATCATCATCAACAGTATTTTAGGCACTGATGTTGAACTTTGAGCACTGTGCACACAATGTTGCTGTCGTTCAAAGGTAGAACCAGTTTGGTCGATGACTCTACTTTTTGTGCCATCTTCGCACCAATTGGCCAAATTAATTTAGCAAACGAAGAAAAAAGTTTTAAAAGTAAAAAACTAGCACTGGCAGTACCCAATCAATACAAATTATACTTTTTGATGATTAGTTTCTAAAAAAGGCTAAAATGGAATCCTTCCTCTCTTTTTCACGTGAACTGATTAAAGCTGGCAAAAAGTTTTTTTTGTAGTGACAAGTTGGTCTCACACGTGAGCCACTGGCAGTTGCAGGTGCACTACTAAGCAGTAGTACAAATTTGCGCTCAAAAATGCAAAATTAGCACATCTGCTGCTACTGAAGTTCTCTGAATTTTTGTTCCTTTATCCTCATCATCATCTCATCATCTCATCAACAGCATTAGCCACTGTAAATGGGTTTTTAATAAGCACAAATGATGCAGACAAGTTGAGAATGGGTAACGAGAAAAGGGAAAAGAGGAAGAATGGCAAAAAAGGAGGAAACAGCTCGTTGAAGGCATTAAAATGCTAATGCGAGATTCGTAATAATAAGAACGATGAAAAGAAAATGCTGAATAAGAAGATGGTTCTAGAGAAAATGGGGAATAATATAAAGGCAATAGCAGACGTGACGCATTAAAAATTGAAATTCCTCACAATCAGGAAAAATGTGTGATAGAAGATGAAAACTCAAGGGAGGCGACTAGTGTTACGACACTGCAAAAAAGAGGAGGTAGCAGTAGCTGTCAATTTTAATTCAATTTAGTACTGCTTCAAGTTAATTTTCAGCGCTAGTAAAGGAAAAAGTGGTTACTTAAAAGAGAGAAACAGAATTTGCCGCCGATAAGCAAATTTTGCAGGCAGAGAAAGGTGAACAAAGGTACAACGGGGGAGAGGACTTGAAATAAAAAAACCTTGTTTGCAGAGTTGCCACAGAAAAAAGTTCTGACGGTGGCACATCAACAACAACATCAGCGGCGGCGCATTGTTCTAAATAATAGATGAACAATGGAATTAAATCCAAGCCGTCCAATGAGAAAAACAGGAAAAAAAGAAGCTTCACAATTCGAAAGTCGGAAACCAAAAAGAAAGATCGCAACCCGACAATGAGCTCCGTGTGCGTGAATTATTCAGCGGCCAAGAGGCCAATCGGTATGGGGAGAAAGGGAGGGAGAAAGAAAATTCTGCAGAATAAGTCCGAAAGAAGGCAAAAACAAAACAAAAGGGAACAGTGAACAAGACAAGTATGTGCACTGTGGAATGGAATGCCGCTACACTGCCACTACTAATGCAAAGCACAAATAGACAATTCCATTTTGAATTTTTTTTTCACTACCAAAAAGCAAAGATTGCCTTTAGCTACGTGAAGATAGACACAGAGAGAAAAAGATATACTGCCATTACTTTTTGGCAAATGGTAAATTTTCAGTCTGATGGGACATTAGTCTGAGATGTCAGACAGAGTACGCACAGCAGAGAAATTGGTAGCACCATAGAGAACTGCTGCTGTGTTGTAAAGAGAGAACATAAAAGAGAGAATAATTTTGTCAGCTCAGAAACGACTCATGAGCCGCCATCTTGTAACACGCCTTGCAAGCATTCTTGCACTTTGTTTTGCACATTGCACAAGCAGCCAACGTGTACCCGGCAAAAAGCACGTGTACTCGTGATTTTACTTTTGCTGTTTTTGTGCCAGGTCTCTTGATTCATTTTTCCCACATAGGAATAAACCACACAAAAATACCCGCAAAAAGTCAGGATGACTTACTCGCAAGAGATGCTCGGCAAGAGCTGTCGTCCGTCGAGCCGATGAAAGATCAGCCCTCCTCTTCGACTGAGATTGGCCATGTGCTGCTGCTGTTGCTGTGTCAGCGTCAGATGACGGGCACTTCCTCTGACGCCGGAAAAGCTGATGCTTCGGGCGTAGGCACGACGAGAAGAGGAGGAGGAACTAGCGGAAGATCTCATCTGAGAAGTGTTTGTCCGAAAGTCTTGCTGCGTCTGACTGAGGGTGAACTCCTCCTCCTCTTCTTCACGAACTAACTCCTCCTGAGTGGTGCTATCAACAGAAGAGGAGTTGTTGATGCTCGGCTTGGCGGTCCGTTCGCTGCCCTCATCCTCCTCATCGTCATCGGTTTCCTCGTCCACCGTGCCAAAGTAGGAGTTGGAGCTGCTGCTGCTCACCGTCCGCTGCATCACCTTCGAGGACATCATCGAGGAGTAGGACTTGCGCTTTAGCTGTACCCTGCTTTGCGTTGGATTGAAGTAGCTGCTGCTGCTGCTGTTGTTGTTGTTTGGCTGATGTGGCTGAGGTGAGGATTGTCCGCTGACGGGTGGTGATTGAATGATGGGCTGACTGCTGTCAGAGTCGTACAAATGATGAGGGTGATGATGGTGATTGCTTTTAGTCAAGCTCGAGCTCAAGTCAAGCTTTTGCAGTGCCTGCTGGCGATTCTGTCGAGATTGAGTGGCGGTTGTGGTGGTTGCCGCCGGTGCTACCGCCGGCTCACTGCTGATTATCACCAAGTGCTCCTCGCCAGAGTCGTCAAAGCTCTTGTTGTGGGGGTGGTGATCATCACCCTCGTTACCCTCAGCCTCCTCCTCTTCTTCATCGTCCACCTCCTCAATCTCCTCCACTTCGACTTCATTCCACGTCCGTCTTTTAGAGGTAGTTTGGATCACTTGGACGATAGTGGCACTGTTTTTAGTGCTGCTAGCAGCAGCCATTGTTGTACTGCAGCTGCTGACCACTGATGATGTTGATGAGGAGGGTGATGTAGTGGTCAGCAAAGAGGAAGAAGAATTGGTAGTGTTCACAGACACAAGCTCAGAAGACTGTTCCTTCATTGCTGCTACTGCTGCTTCTGCCGTAGCTGTTCAGGCTTGTACGATTAATCATCGCCTGGTGCCAGCACTGCTGTACACACGCACAAATGTAGTCACACCAGCGAACAAAATGAAAAGTGTGAACAGAGCAAATGAATAAAACAGAGAAGAGAAAGGCCACAACGTCAGCACCAGCGAGAAGGTGATATCAAATCAAATATGCAAATTGCACTTGGCTGACACAATGACTGGAGAAATCGAAAGGGAAGGCAAAAGTACAGCACAGTCAGTGCTGATTTTGAACAGTCAAACTTAGGACACAAGTGCTGCTGAGATGGCGTGGGGGTCGAAGAGGGTGCCAGAAAATGTGTGCACAAAAAAATGAAAGAAGAACTTTGAACAGTAAAAAATAAAGAAAGAAGAGGAAGTGCACACAAAACACACACACAAAAGTAGAAAAAAGAAAAAGTTTCAACTGCAGACAGAAGTGTTCATTGAACAGACTACTTTTTGAAGTGTGTGTTTGGTGTGTGTTGAGACAAACTTAGGAAAACAGAGGAAAGAAGAAGAAGAAGACACACACGGTGTTAAGACACTTGCTCCGCTGCTGATAACAGAGAACAGACAGTGTAGCAGGCACAACAATCGACGAATCAAAAGAGGTTCCTCTTCTTCTCTAAACTCATGGTTTGGTGTTTCAGAAGAAGAAGAAGAAACAGTTAAGTGCTTCTGGCTGCTGTCCACCACCACTACAGTTTCAGTAGTGTTTTGTCTGTGCCGATGCAGAACCAGCAATGAAACTATCACCACTGCATAGAATTCAGAATGCAGAATGCAGACGGCTGAAGAGGAGTGAACACAAACACACACACAGACTAGAACACTATTTATAACGGTGGCTGCAAATATATTCAATAACAGCAGCAGACGGCACAGCACAGAACAGAAAACAGCGGCAAAAAACTGGCGGGCAATAAATGAGCAGTAGAGGGCTACGACAATAGAGACACAGACACTGCTGAGAAAGATGCACCAGTATCAGTCTCCCTCACTTCTCTTTCTCCCTGTCTACTAGTCTGAAAGATAGCAAACAGAAGGAGCAGAGGAAGAAGAAAAAGAAGAAGGCAAATGTCATCGAGCAGTAGAATAGAGAGTAGACACGATAAAAACAGCAGTCAAACAGCAGAAAAAGAAGTGAGAAAGCTGTGTGTGGCAACCTTGGCAAAGTAGCACCACCACCACCAGCCAAACACAAAGACAATGCAAAATGTTAAATGCACAAGTTAGCAAGTCAGTGAGAAGGGGAAAAAGAAGAAGAAGAAGTAAAAGAAGTACTAAAGCTGTGCGTGTGAAGATTCGTGTACGGCACACAGCCTTTTTTTCGGCACTCAAGGCGACAACCGAAAAGTGGTGCCAGTGGTGCATCTGGCGCGTGCCGAGAAGGCGACAGAACCGACAAAAACGACAGTGCAAATGAAGATGGTGAAAATGAAGAAAGTGGAATTAAAGAAGTGAAAGTGAAAGATGAAGAACGACAAGGATGGCGGCAGCGGCGACAATTTGGCTGCGGTTATCACATCTGCGGCGACGACGGTGCACCAGCCACACTTTGCCATTAGCACTGTGGTGAAACTACCACCACAATTGCCGACACTGACAAAGTAGCTCCGGATTAGCGGTGGTAGTACTGCACAGTTTGCCTTCATCAAAGGCAAGTAAGTGGTAAAGGAGAGCCACTGAGAAAAAACAGTAGAAAAGCACCAGAGTAGAAAAGTGAACCGACAGCAACAGACACTGTGATACAGTGAGAGTGAAGCAGATGGCACCGAATGCTGATGATTTTTTTTGTTGCTGTTGCTGCTATCCTTTACAAGAAAATGTGAGTATTGCTGTTGGTTGATGACGGTTGGCTTGCTGACTGGCTGGGAGTAGTAATTACCGGAGAATTAACACAGGCACAAAGTAGTAGTGCTTCGCTAATTGAAGGTGCAAGTGTGCATGTTTGGGCGTTTGAGCTGCAAGACGGTGCAGCAGGCGGCAACAGCAGCAGCAACACAACTGAATGCACAAATAAATGAGTGCCTGAAGAGAATGGGCACTGCTGCTGAATGGGTACTTGCACTGCGACGAGATGCAAATCTCCTCGCTTTTTCACCAGCAGCAGCAGCCGACAAAAGCCAAGTGAGTGTGTGTGTGCTTGAGAGTAGTCCGTAAGTAAGTTGGCCGTTCTGTGAGTGTAGGTACGACGACGACGACAGGGCAAGGCAAGGCAGTGTGCTCGGACGATTGGGAGAGAAAGTAGTTGCCTGCACAATATTGAGGAAGGGAGAGAGAGTGTGTGCCAGTGTGCCGCAGCACAGTGCCGACACTGCCCCATTCAATGAATTGCTGCTAGAATAGTGGGCCACTTTTTTTCTTTTTTTTGGCTTCCTCCGGTTCTTGCTGCTGCTGTAGGGGTCGTATATGAAAGTAGAAAAGGAAGAAGAGGATTCAATTGGCAAAACGTGCCCACGATGTGTCGTCAGAGCTCAGCTTTCATTGAGCAGCAGGACTCAAAGATGTCGACAGGTTTGTGAGAGGGCCTAAGCGAGTATGTCAAGTGCTTTAGCAGCAGTTCAGAGCACAACAACCACCACCGCGTTGACAAACATCAGCGCGTTGATGATTTGAGAAGAGCAGCAGAGAAAACGTAGGTGCTGAGTTTAGCAGGAAAGAGCAGCAGCCGTTTTTGCAGGCAGGCAGCAATTGTCATCGGAGAAAGTGGTAGTGAAAAAGTCAATTCACGAATCTACAAGCTTCAGTTTTCTTCAGTTGCTGCTGGGGATACTGTTTCGCTTTCACCGTTACTGAGGCTCATTATCGTCGACGAGTTTTAGAGAAAGGGAGAGAGAGAGGTGCCACTGGAACAGAAACAACATCAGCAGCTTATAACGGCTTTAAAAATGTTCAAATTCTGCCGCCGAAAGAGAAAAGAGCAGAAAATAGTAAAAGAATCTTCTGCAGGCTGAAAAGCTACTGCCATCAGCCAGTGGGCAGCAGCATTTGCCGGCAATTGGCATTGCCTTCAGTGCAGCAGCCAAAAAGCAACACACTGCCGTCGTTTCAGTGTACGGCTTCAGCATGCAAACAACACTGTACTGTACGACAGCAGACAGCAGACAGAAATGGATAGACCGAACGAGACAGTGCCCGATTGAGAGAGAGTACCAAAAAGCAAACTGAAAGGCAATGGCAGCAGCACCACCGCCCGCCAGCCTGCCAGACGGAAAGTGAATGAATGAATGAATGAATGAATAGGAAAGAGAGAATTTGGGAAAGAGAGAAAAAGAGCTCAATGGCGTTCACGATGTGCTCACTTTGCTGCTGCCAGCACCAGCACCGTCGCCAATCGTCCGAGTGGCTCTGCTGAACGTGTGTTTCTATCTTCCTCTTCCTCTCTCTTTTTTCTACTCGGCATATATCTTCATTAACCATCGACTGCTCAATTGGAGGGGCACTGTTGTTCTTCAGCATCAGCATCAGCAGCAGTAGATTACACTACTGTTACCGGGATCAGGATCGGGTTTGGCAGGGAGAGAGAGAGAGGCTTATCATCGTCAGCGTTTGCTGGTTGCTGGTTGCTGGTTACTGTTTGCCGTCATGGTTCAGAATGGAAATGGTAAGCAGCCAAAGCAGTCTGCTAAGGATAGTGTGTGCAAAACCTGTCAGCACAGCTCATCCTTCTCAGACGACTGCAACTCAGACGATGATGATGCTAAGGATGTTGAAGAAGATGTTGAGCAGAGAAAAGAGAGGCAAAAGGCTATGCTTGAATTGAGAGCTGAAAGATGGTAAGATTGAGATGTCTGCAGAGTTGTGGGTGGAAGAAAAAGAAGAAAAGCAAAACAAGCGTTTCAAATGTTTTTGTTTAGATTTGTTTTGTTGAACTGTTTGTGTGCTGGAATAAATATAACTTGTGTGCGATATCGTCGTCCAAAATGCCGGTCGATGAGTGTGGGATGATGCTGCTGTCTTTATAATGACGGAAGAAAAAACCAAAATCGGAAAATTTTAGAGTTTTTGCACCGGTAGAGCTTAACTTTTCACTTTTTTGCTTCGCGTGTGGGCGAAATTGAGAAGAAGATGTTTGCACCGTCACACAATTCCGCCAATGCCGATGTTTGACTTCTTGATTTTGGTGCTGATTTTTGCTGTTGAACTCAAATTGAGCTGAATGATCGGGGCAGGAAGAATTGTTGAAGTGCAAGTGATAGTGGTGAGACAAATGCAGCCAACCGTGCCCCAGCCGATGAAACCTCTCGGAGTCACTGACACGACAGCTAAGACAGCCAAAACAGTACCAGCAAATGTTAGAGAAAAGAAAAGGCAAAAATAATCAGTTGCCGCCAAAGTCGACGTCGTCGACGGCTAAACAGATTGTAAAACAGTCTGAATGACTGCAGTGAAAAAAAGCCAATGAAGTAGAAAAAAAGAAATAGAAGAAATAAAATGAGAAAAGAGGAACCCTGCAAACACAGTCAGCAAAAGTGCAGAATGCCCGACAGTCTGATTATTCATTTGGTCAGAACAGCAACTGCAGCAGCGGCAGCCACGACAAAGAAGCCCAATAAAAAGCGTACCGAGAATTGAGCACTTCCTTTGCACTTCTCGGAACAGTCAGCGCTCTTTGCAAAAAACTCGTAATTTCAGCACAAAATAACTCTGCAGCAGACCACCAAAAGCAGAAAGAAAGAGAAAGAAGAGAAGGGCATTACTAATTTGTGGCAGTCAGTGCAACAAGGTAATTGGACACAATCGGCGCTGCTGCTGCTGCTGTTCCTGGCTCGGTCATATCCGAGCCAAAAAGTGAAAAGGCAGAAGGTAATTGAAAACATACACAAGCACACACTGGCTGGACCCTA